GGATCAGGGAATCCCCTGGATCAGGGATTTATAGGATCAGGGATTTGTGGGATCAGGGACTCCCGTGGACCTGGGATTTCTGGGATCTGGGGTTTCTGGGATTTGGGAATCAATTGGATTTGGGATTTGTGAGATCAGGGAATCCACTGGATTCGGGGCTTGTGGGATCTGGGATTTCTGGTATCACAGAATCCCTTGGATCTGGGATTTATGGGATCAGGGATTTGTGGGACCAGGGATTCCCATGGACCTGGGATTTCTGGGAATCTGGGATTTGTGGGATCTGGGATTTCTGGGATCAGAACCTGCTGGACCCTTGGGGTCACCGCGTCCCCCCAGGGGGTCTCAGGGTCCCCTCCAGGATGTTCCCAACTTTTTTTTTTTTCCCGGGAATCTCCTGAGGCTCTCTCGGCCTCATCCCACCGGGAAGGAGCCGCCCCCGGACCCATTCCCAGGGAAATTCCCGGAGCGGAATCCCACAAAAATTCCTTGGTATTTGTCTCACCCCAACTTTTGGGGTCCCTCAAATCCCTGGAGAGGCTCAGAGGACCCCAAAAGCTCCGGGAAAACCCCAAATCCCGGGATCCGGGGACAGGGAGGGGATTTGGGGACTCACCCTTGCCGGCTGTCGCCATCTGTCCCCTGCGATGTCGCTGTCCCCAATGTCAGCGGCCGGGGGGCATCGTCCGGGAATTCTGCGGGAATGGGATGGGAATAGGGTGGGAATGGGAAGGCGCCAATTCCGTCCCGTATTCCCATCCCATTGCGGCGACAGTGGTGGCCCCGAGGTGGCCCCGAGGTGGCCCCGAGGTGGCCCCGAGGTGGCCGCGATGCTGGCGGGGAGGAGGAGCCAGCGGGCAGCGCCAGGCCTGGAATGGGCATTCCCTCATCCCAAATCTCCGGGAAAAGCGGGAATTAGGGAATTCCCTCCCCGCCGCACGCGCCTCAGTTTCCCCCTTTTTCCCCCCGCAAAAAAAAAAAAAAAAAAAACCAAAAAAAACCCAACAACAACAACAAAAAAAGTCTCCGAGATTTGGGATTTTTTTTCCCAGTGTCCCAGCGCTGATCCAAAATTTGGAGCCTTTCCCAAATCGCTTTTCCCAGGATAAACGGGACATCACATCCCAAACTTGGGAGCCTTTCCCAAATCGATTTTTCCCGGGATAAACGGGAGACCAGATCCCAAACTTGGAGCCTTTCCCAAATCGGTTTTTCCCGGGATAAACGGGAGACCAGATCCCAGACTTGGAGCCTTTCCCAAATCGATTTTTCCCGGGATAAGCGGCGCGCGGAGGAGCCACCGCCAGCCGGGAATTCGGGATGTGACATCCCAAAAAAAACCCCAAAAAACAAACAAAAAAACCCAAACAAAAACCTAAAAAAAACCCCAAAAAAACCCCGTGGAATTGGAGGGTCAAACCTCCTTCTCCTTCCTGGGATCGCCCCAGGGGACCGGGAATGCCGGCAGGGATTGGGAAGCAGAAACCCCAAAACGCCGGGAAATCCGTAGGGGGGGAAAACCCCCAAAAAATCGGTGAAAAAAACCGGGACAAAAGAAAACCGAGCTGGAATGGAAGGGGTGTGGGGGGAAATCCCGGGATCTGATCAAGCCACACCGGGGGACAAGCAGCGCTGTCACCCAGGAGGGGACACCGCGCCCGCCGCTGTCCCCGCCCCCCTTTGCCGAGCGCTCCCAGCCGCGTTTCACCTCCGCCATCACCCGCGGCCCGCCAGCCCCTCCGCGGGGCCGGCCCGGTCCCCTCTGCCACCCCCCGGGTGTCCCCGTTGTCCCCCGTTGTCCCCCGTTGTCCCCCGGTGTCCCCCCGGTGTCGCCGCGCCCCGCTCACCCCGCCGCTCCCGCCGCCCGCTTCCCGCTGCGGGGACACGCCCCCGGGCTCCTATTGGCCGGCGCGCCCACACCTCGCGCTCCCATTGGTGGGCGCGCACGCCGGTCACGCCTCCAGGCCACGCCCCCAGCGGGCGTTGCTAAGGGGCGGGATCGTTGCTAAGGGGCGGGGCAAAAGGCGGAGCAGCCAATGAGGGAGGGCGCTCGCGCGGCGGGGCGCCCCCTTGCGGGCGGCGGGGAAAGCGCGGGGGCGTTGCCATGGGAACGGGGGGTAGGGGAGGGGCCTTTCCTTTTTCCTTTCCTTTCCTTTCCTTTCCTTTCCTTTCCTTTCCTTTCCTTTCCTTTCCTTTCCTTTCCTTTCCTTTCCTTTCCTTTCCTTTCCTTTCC